GTATGTCACATGCCGACAAGCTTCTGCTTGGTTCTCCTCTAAACCAAAAACTAAGATACCAAACTGAAACACCCTAGGCCATGCTATGCAAGATATTGTCGACTTTGTCTAACCCATTTCATAGTAAATTACATCTCATGGTTTTTTTCCTTTATTTGCGTAAAACTTCTTCAAGAGATCACCCATCCCAAAAATACTCTACTAAAACACACTTAATTGTGAAGTTCTTATGAAAAATCCACCCATTACACCAAAAGGCCCTTTGCATATTGGAACTAACTCTTTAGTTATACAGCTAATATCATTTCCTCCTATTCCAATGCGGGGGGATTTGGTTTATTCCTGCACCCCTTTCTCCTAGAAACCTAACATTCTAAAAGATTGCTAAGACTCGCTTCTTATATGGGTTTCTGCCACAACGATTACTCTTCCTATCCTCTTCGGATTTTAGATTTCACAGATGTACCGATGCTCAAATTATTTTAACTTCAAAAACATGTCGGATATCATCATAAGGATGGGTGCAGTCATAAGATGGATTGGTGGAGTGTATGACTCATTTTCATTCAAAGCACAAAAAAAAGTGAATTGATTGGTTCGATGATTACAGAGTTGTGGCATACTATCAAGTTTACGAATGTGATGGTATGCGACGATGATTACTCGCTTTAAATCAGTTAGCAGACATGATCTTTTCAATCAGTAAAAATACCATCTATAAGATCATAGATTTGAATTTTTCCAGGAAGAATTTTGATAGCAAATCAAATGTTACTCTGCTTTACACATCCTCGAATTAAGGGGAATCAGCCGGCCACTCAGTTAAGCCAACTTAATAAGCATGGAAAGTATTCTGAATGCAAGAATACGTTTTAGATCTTAGATGTTTGCTGCCCCTGCTTGTTTCTTCATCCAGAAATCGGGCATGAGGAGTCGTACTTGGAAGCAAATTTATGGTAATTTCTGAATGACTGAACTGAAGCGCAGAAAAAAAAGGGCCAAAAAAAAGAAAAAGAAAATTCAACCAATAAATTCAATAAAATAATCAACATATTAAAGAACCTAGAAGGGCTTAGAGAATGATAAAGATCCATAGTTGAAAGCAGCTTCACATTAAAAATAATTACTATAACAAATACCTTTATGAGACCAGTTTGAGTAAGGCCAGCTTCAGTTATGATAACGAGGAATTTAATATCATGCTCTGCTGCATATTCATACTGCTCAGTGAGACTTGGGTCCTCTAGTAGGACAAACTCAGCCTGTTAAACAATAAAAATTAATGAATTATTCATACTACATATTCATAATGTGCGATATATTTTAAAATTATGAGAGAGACCTTCATGCTTGCTTGCCACAGTTCAGCAACCAATTCCATACGTTCAAGCAGTAGACCTCCCCCACCTTTGGAGCAGACAAGCACATTGATGTTGAGCTCAATTCTGCCCAACACAACAGTGAGTCGATGTACTTAGCAAGTAAAATACGTTTATAAGTTATATATATAAAAGATATTCGACCTGGAGGGCTTGATATCTACCGAACAATGATGAAACACCTTCTCCATTGCAAGGCTGGTTCCAACTGCACCAGGAGGATTGGACCTCTAGAAGGTAAACAAAATACGAAGTACCTTAAAATAAATTCTTCTTGAAAAAAAAAAGCATTACGGTTTATACATAAATGTCTAAAAATACAATGTTTAGAATATACCAAATTTAAGCATTTTTCAGTGCTCAGACAAAAAGGTCAAATGAGAATTTAAGCATTTTTATTAGATTTAAATGAGAATTTAACTCTTAATAGAATAATGGAGAAAAATGATTCATCTAGCCGACCCCACATAGTGGGATAAAGGCATGATGTTGTTGTTGTAGAAGACAAAAAGGTCAAATGCCTAAATTAATTTAAAATATGTTGCTACAAATTAATTCCATCTTTCGAATAGATGAGCTGCTAGCTTCCTTTTTTTATTCAAATGTTAGACAAATTATAAAGGAAAATCAGACCACTAATCAAGAGGGAATATAAAACTTAACTATAGAGAATATACATAATACAAGGTTATATTTGAAACCTAATGAATGGAGCCTCCAAACTTTCATTTAGTAGAATTAGTACGGACAATTAATTACGCCCTGTCCAAAAGGACATAATGGAGTCTCAGTACTTTCACTTAACATAAACAGTTAATCATGCCCTGTCCTAGAGGATGCGTTATTCTTAAATAATAAAGTATATCAGTACAACATACATTTTCATAATTCCACTTCTGATGAACCAAATAGTCGTAGCGGCCACCAACAGCCATTAAGGTAGCTTCAGATACTGGAACTTGCATGTGCTCTTTTAAGAATATCTGCATTTACATCAATAATATAACGTAATGAATACTGCTATCATTTACAATTCAAGTTTTTTAACATTTTCAAAACCAGAAATCTCTCTACTAATCTGAAACAGGGTTGAGACTGAAAAAAATAAAAAAATAAAAATAAAAATAAAAAACGTTTTGAGTGGAAAACTAAGAACACATACTTCAAAAACATCATAAAACCAAAAGATTAATGACCCAAATGCTTAACTTAGAGAAAACAGATCACATTATCGCTTCCAGTAAACAATTATTATAGATAATGGCTTGGCATATTTATACTTAATAATTGCATTTAACAGTAAAGCTTCGATAAAATCACTTTCTATATCACCATTGTTATCATCAGTAGGTTTCATACAACAAAGGGTTAATTAATCGTCCTCCATCAGTAACTGTAATTTTATCTGGCGCCAATGAAAAAAGTAGTACAAAGTTTTTTTTTTTTTTTTGTGTTCTTGATGACAAAACCGACTTTGAATCTTGGCCAGATTGGTGACCTGCTCCAACAATTTGATATTACATATGCTCCCTAAAAGTTGAAAAAAGGATATTCTTGCAGTTTTTCTCATTGCACATCTTACACTACAGATTTAGCTCTCAATGATAATATACCTAATGAACAAATCCTGCCCAGATAAGAAAATAAAAACTATAAATATTGGAGCTATATTTTGACAAAGCATTATTGATGCATGTATATTTTAGTTTATTTTTGTTTTATTATAATTTGAATATTATAGTTGTTTTTATGTTTTTTTTATGCTATCCAATGATGGAGAACATCCAATGATTATGAGTAGATAGTGCTTGGGCAAGGCAAGCCTTGGGTGTGCTAGCTTCTTGGGTTCTTTTGGTCTTTGGGCTGCTTGTTGCCTCTCGGGTTGGGCCTTGGCTGCTCTCGGGTGGGCCTTAGCTGCTTTGGTTTTGAGTTGAAAATTTGGGAGCTACATAGTTCTAGCTCATTATTGCTTGAGCTGATGTTTAGCTCATTATTTAGAGTAATTGCACTATTTAGCTCATTAATTTGAAAAGGTTCTCTTCCTTTTAGCTCATTATGTAGAGTTTGAACAAGCCTCTTCCCCTTCTTTGTGCCCCCTCGATTTCTTCCTGGTGCTGATTCCCATGGCTGGTTCTCCTCCCTTCATTGGGTGTTGGTTCCGATCCCCTATACAGCCTTTTTCGGTTTCTTCCCTGATTGCTTTTCTGTGGCTGCTTTACCTAGTTCCTATGCTGCCTTTTTCGGGTGCTGTTCTATTTTTCCTGCTGGCCTTCCTATTCCCCTGCTTGATTGATTCGGTAGGTGGAAATTGGCCGTTTGGCTCCCCCTTTTCTCTTATAAATTAGTGATGGATTTGTCATGAGGAGGTTGATGATTAACTTGAGAAAAGTTGTTCAAAACCTGAGGGTTTCTTCTTCTTCCTTGAAAAAGCTTGAGAGCTTGTTCCAATTCTCCCTTATTCCTCTCTATTTCGTCTTGGCTTCTAATCTCTTCTTCTCTACACAAGTTCCACTCCACTTGTATCCTTCTTCTTGAGCATTTGGAGGTTTTTGTTGGCAGAATTTGGAGACATTTGTTAGAAGAGTTTGGCTGGACGTTGGACCTTGTTGCTTGTAAAAACCCGAAAATGTTGTTTTAGACCTCGCACGCTTTTCAAAGCCCCGCGGATGAGTTTTAATTGAAAATTTTGAAGTTGTCGGATTTTGACGGGAATAATTTTATAAAATAGAGCGTAAAATTCTGATCGTTTTGATGTATAGAACCAATATCGGATTTTGAGTATTTTGAGAGTTAAAATTTCCGGAAAGTTCTAAATGACAATTTTGCCCTTAATGCTTTTTGATTAGAAGAGAGTTTAAGTGAGGGTAAAATAGACTTTTGGCAATCCTCATTTCTCCCTTAATAGGCAAACCGAGCCCTCCTTCTCCCCCATTCGCACGAACCGAGCGGAACTCCTAGGGGCGGATGGCTCGGGCTCTTCGGGCGGCGGCTCCGGCGACCTTTTCCGGCGAGGAATTTTGGGGAAATTGAAGAGGAAGTCAAGGGAAGGAAAATGTATGTATTATAACTATGATTTTCCCTCTCTTTCTCAAGATTTTTGGATGAGAAGATTTCTAGGGTTTTAGGAAAACTTGAGTTTTCTTTAAGGTTCCTTTGAGAAAAGTTTAGGGAAGGGTTAGGGGAAGTTTTTAAACTCTAATGTGAAGTATTTTCTTGAAAAATATGAAATTTTGGAAACTAGGGTTTTGCTCAAAAATTGTTTCTTTGAAAATGTCTTCACAAATGAGGTTTCTATTAACCTAAGAAAACTTCTAATTGAAAAATATTGAATGAATGACGAAAATTTTGAGTTTAGGAATTTAGGATTTTCCCTAATTAAGGAATTTTTGATCTCTATGGTTTTCATTGATTGTTGGGAGGATTTTAGAGGCAAATACATGGGTTTTGCTTGAAAAACTATATTTTCTAATTTTTGATTTCATTAATTCCGAAAATTGATTTTATTTTAATTATGTTTTGAGGGTAGGGAAAGGTGTTGCATGCTTAAAACCTAAGGAATTAGACTAAACCATAATTGAAAGAGAATGTGTTTGAGAGATTATGATTTGGTGTGGAGGGCTTGAATTGGAACATAAACAAGACATTAGAAAGAACCCTTTTATTACTTTAGGATTAGGGTTTAGGATATTGTATAGGGATTGGTCGCTTATGCTTTTCTTTGTATGTCTCTTTTAGATATAAATCGTGTGGAGGGAAAGAGTTTGATCGGACAAAGAAAGAGGTGCACGGATTGAGGTAGGTGGAATGGATGTTCTTATAAATTTTAGACAAATTTTCTTTCATTCCAAATTACATGAAATGACAAATTCCTTTATGCTTATTATGAAACTCTTATGGCTCATGTTCCCTTGTAAGTTTATGGACACTTGAAGCAAATGCAAAGGTTCTCTTTATGCAAATGTACAATTCATGAATGGATCCCATGCTCATTTCTCTACTCTTACTATACACGACTTTTTTCTTTACATGCAAAAGTGCACATAAACATAGCAAGCATGCATATCTCTAAGGAAACATACACTTGGTTAGTTTATGAATGATTTACATAAAACATCTTTTATGGTTATATAAGTAATAAGTGTATGTACATGTTGACGCGGGAGTATCACATGGTAAAGGAGGCTCTTATGAGCCATGGTAAAGGAGGATCTTATGAGCCATGGTAAAGGATGGTTCTTATGAAACAATGGTAAAGGAAATGACCAAATTTTATGTACCTGATCAGTACAAGTGATACTCTTGAGACGGGTGTTATATTTACATATTAAACTATTATGAACATTTCATATTCATGTTATGCATTTGAGACTATCATGTGAGGCAAAATGTTAAAGGAAAAATGGTAATGTTATGAATGAAAAAACACTTGAAAGTTGAGGTAAAGGTATGCATTTCCTCAAAGCAATATTTCTTTATGTTGATGTTTCTTTTATTATAACATTCAATCATGATTTAGTTTTCTTTTATTGGCTCTAAAATCATTTGAATTCCATTCGCACCTATTGAGTTTATGACTCACCCTCATTGTGGGAACACTTTTCAGGAGGACCTAGGAAAGGATATATGGCAGACTAACCACTGCGCACTTACCATCGTAGGGAGACGACGGACGGCAGGTTCTTTTGAGTTTTGATATTTTGTATAGAAGGTTTAGAAATGATAAGTAAGAAAAATGATTTTTGGATCCCCTTTTGTATTTTGTAAACTCAATGTGGAATCCTTATGTTGGTGCTTTGAAATGAAGAAATGAAAAGATTTTATTTGAAGATTCTTTAGTGGCTCTTTCTTTATATTTGGTACTTATTTGAAGATATGCTAATTGTTTATTGTGAAGTTTCTTTTATTTTCATCCTGTCCGACCTCTGTTTCCGCCTCGCACTTGCGAGCTAACCGGTTCGGGTCGTGACATTGCTGTGGTGGACCCTTGGTTTGCAAACCCTAAGCACTTATCATATTTTACCAATTTTTCGTTGCATGTGAGAAAACCGCTTATCAGTTGTTCTGAGGATACAGTTTTTATTTTATAATTTTGTTTCGTTTGTTCGATTTTTTGTTTGTTTTGGTGCTGTTTGAATATCTGCATTCTAGATTGAATTGAGTTTGGTTTCAATTGTCCCAGTGTTCTCCTATCTTGACTTTTCTTTCTAGTTTGCCTGCATCAAGCTTGGTATCAGAGTCAGGTTAGCAAATCCTTGGTAGGTGTTAGTCTCTTTTTAAGAAATCTAAAATGGCTAATAATCAAGGGATTGACAACAAATGATGCAACAGTTAGCGGATTTGCAAAATCAAATGAACGACATAGCTAACACTCTTGCTAACTTAAATGTCAACCATCCTAATGTTCAAACTTCTGAAAGTGAAGAAATTCCTAGAAACCAAAATAGACAACAAAGAAATTGGGATTATGGAATTAAAATTGTTGTTCATAACTTCGAAGGTAAACTTCAAGCTGACCAATTCATCGAATGGGTAGAAAAAATGGATGAATTTTTTGAATAGAACGAAATACCGGATAACAAAAAAGTCAAATTTGCATGCTTAAAACTCACTGGGCATGCACTCACATGATGGAAGAATTTACAAAATAATAAACCAAGGCGAGGGAAAGAAAAAATTCAAAACTGGGAAAGAATGACAGAGAAAATGAGAGAAATTCTTGCCATTAGATCATGCACGAATAATCTTTCATAAATTTAATAACTTGCGTCAAGGTAATCAATATGTTGAAGAATACACTGAAATGTTTTACAAACTCCAATCGATAAATGACTTAGATGAATCCGAAGAAAGAACTGTCTCAAGGTATATCAACAGCCTAAAATGGACAATCCAAGATCAACTAAAATTGCACCACGTAATTAAAATTGACGAGGCTTATCGTATGACATTGAAAATTAAAAAGCAACATCAAAGGGGTCACAACAAAATAACTGAAACATATAAGCGAAATA